ATAAAAAAAAAAAAAAACTAACAAAATAAGAAGATAAGAGGAAAATTCTAAATGATGAAGAATACAAGAATCTGGTCATAATAGGATATAAAAATGAAAGAGAATTTCAAATAGATTATTAAGTTTCAAATTCAAATTTTTTAAAGTGATAATTTATTGGATAAGATTTTGTTAAATTATTTTTAAATTATTTATTTCATTTTTATTGAGTATTCTAATAAATATCGTACCATAAATAAATAAAATATATATTTTATTAACATTACCAAAACTATTGAGGATTTTTTAAAAATAAGAGTAATAAGAGGTTTGCTAGTTTATTAATGCACTTTTAATAACGCAAGTAAAGCAATAATCAGTTTTTAAAGTCTCAATAATGTAAATTTTATTAGATGTCTATGTTACGCGAATAGATTAATTAATTTTGACATGCACGCATGAAATCAAAGAAAATAATAGAAAGGCAGCTAAAATTACATAACAAAACGATGAAAGATGCCAAAAACGTTATTTATAATGTTGAATATATTTTCGTCTAATGAATCGTTTATTATGGATTTGTTTAGCATTTTTATCGTTTAAATATTTATAGTTAAGACAAGTTATTTTATCATCTACTCATTTCTGTGTGTGTGTGTGTGTGTGTGTGCGTGCGCGTATTCGTGCTATATTATTTTAAAATCAGATAAATAAAAATATTTGACAAATTGATATTTAATATAACAAATTAATATATAATCAAAATTAATTATGAAATAGAAAACAATTGCAAAATAGGAAATACATATGAATATACACAATGTTTCTGATTTTTTTACGATTATTTCCTGTAATTTACTCATCAATAACTGAATTGATAATTAAATTGGAGCAAATTTATCATAGTATCTCAGATGTCATGTAATTAATAATATATCGTAAAGAATAAGAGGCGATACGAAGTTCAAGTAATTGCAGAAAAGTCACAAGCAAGGCGAGAATGGCTGAAGAATTTAACCAGTAAGACAGGTTTGTTTTTCCTATGGCGCATTAAAGTCGGCAGAAGAAAGAGCGGTGGAGGGTCGAGCTTACGGTGTTTGTCGCGAGCCGCTAACGAGCAAAGAACTGTCCTCGAGCTCGGCCGCCGTCTTATATAAGTCTTAGCGACGAGTAAAATGCCGGACCACACACATCTGATCCTATCTAGAGGCGAGCGCTCCCTGAACCTCCGATTTACTGATGTCCTTATCGACGGACTTCTTTCCTACCTCACTTGTCTTATCGATCCTTACTATATGCCTTTGAGATTGTTTCGGCAGCAATCGTGTGTGACCATAACTTATACGGTCGAGCTATTCACGACTTTCCAATCGAGGATTTTCTTTTTTCCTCCTATACTACACAATGGAGAATCTCCAACGTGAGAAATTAGGAGTGAGATCAAAATCCTCTCATAATAAGAAATAATTCTTGAAGAAGCTGCTTTGACAAAATCAAACACTTATGGCAGATGATATCTCAAATGCTTTCTAAACGACTTCATTTTGCTCAATAAACACATACTATCATGATGCGTCTTACTAGTTTTATTAATACTAAAATTTTTATAAAATCAATTAAATATCTAATTCAATTTTTTTTAAATTGAAGTAAAATAGAAACATGACATTTTTATTATTGAATTTTTGTAGTTCATACTGTACATTCCAAATTTTCTGAAATTTTCCAATATATTTAAAATTATTTTATACTGTCTACTTTATACTTTGAATAAAAGAAACTTTTTTGAGACAAGCACTTATTTCTATTTTTCATCTATTAAGATTATATATATATATATATATATATATATATATATATATAAAATGGAAGTATTAATAATAAAATTATTAATTATAATAAGTGTTAATAACTAATTTATTTGAAGAATTATTGATTTCAAGATATTTATTTACAAAATAATTTTACAAAAAATTCATATAATTTATATATATATATACTTTTAAGGTAATTAATGAAATATTTTTTAATTTTAAGGTATTGATAAATTATATGTTATAAAAATAACTTACCCCATTCTGAAGTTGGTCATATGTGTAGCATGAAAACAGAAAGTAACTTACTGAGCATTTTATTAAACAAAATATTATAAAAAATTTTTAAATAAATAAACTCACCGTAGTTTCATTAACACTTATTATATATTCTTTATATGTTCCAGCAATTAATTTGACGATGTTCTCATCTCCATGTTTAGCTCCCCAATGCAGTGCTGTCTAAACACAAAAAGTTGGTACTTAAATAAAAACAGAAATTATAAAATGTTATAGTTCGAGTTCTGTAATAAAATTTTTTTTAAATATAAATAAAATCAATAAATAATATAGAATATATTTAATATTACCATTTTTAATAAATATATAGTAATATATTAATATACAAAAATCGATAGTTTTATTGAATTTATTTAAATTAAATCGATTACTTTATTTTTTATGAATTATAATAAAAAAAAATTATTTTTGAAATGCATTATAAAATATAATTGATGCTACTGTGATAGGAATGATAGAAATCATTTGAAGAAATAAATTTCAATGTAGTGCAATATAAATTAAAAGTAAACATTTAAATTATATTTTGTAATTCGCGAAATATAAATGATCTTATACTAAATACTAAAATACATTTTTACATCATTAAAATATTTGTAAATTTCATTATTATATATAGGTCGAAAAAATCTCAAAGTTCTTTTTTAATTCAAAAGCCCATATAAATGACTAATTTTGTATTTTATCTATTTTTATTATATTTATTTTAAAAAATCCGCTAGATTCATAAATCAATCGAATCTATATATCTTTAATTTAATTTGAATTAATTAAAAATATTGTAGGATTATCGGTTGTATGTTTGCTTCAAACTTTTGTTTATAAATTTATACTTAGGTAAAAACTTAAAAATTCCTATACCATAGTATAAATTCTAAATATTTGTATGCAAATAGAAAAGATCTACTTTATATATGTATCAATAATCATATTATAATAACCATCAATAGAAGGTGTACAAAAGTCTAAACGCTCAAACAAGATATCCCCCCTCTCTTCTAATTGTTCTAGGTATTCAATAATACATTCTAAAAAAAATCTATAATCATATAACTATCCTTGAAATTTATATACAACATTACCGAATATTCTAAATTATAAATGAATCATGGTGTATAGTGATCGAGTGGTAAACACTCGTGTAAAATATCCTGATCTAGATTCACCGTTCGTGAATTTACGATTTAGTGAAAATATGAAACCTTCTTACTTCAATTTACATACGATTTAACTTCATACATTAGTTTCAGGGGGCTTTATATTACAAATATTTTAAAAAGAAACATACATTTAGTAAATATCATAATTGTTTAAATTAATTCCTGAAATTAAAAAAAATTTTTTATTAAATTGCATGATATACAACACAGATAAGATTGTAACTACCATTTACTAATTACACGAAAATTTTATTTGATTTGCACATAAATTAGTTGAGTTATGATAGCATTTAATACACTAAAACCAAATTCAAATTGCCTTCTCTGTAAAAATATTTATCGATATTAATTAGAATTTAAAATTTATATTAAAAACAAAACTTAATTTCAATTTTTGTAAAAGACATCTATAAATATTATTTTAAATTCGTCGCATTACATATGTATTTGTATTTGGATTAATGATTTTCATTATTGGTTAACATTAGGTTTAAAATAAATGATTGAATTAGATTACCGTAAAACGGAGTTTTCGAGTCATCATTCATACATATTATAAAATTTACGTTCAATTATTCTTTAATCAGCGCAAACGATCAGCGTATAAGTGGACTCCCAACAATAACACGTGTCCTTGCAAAAGCACGTATAGAAGATTTTGTAAACGAAACTTCCATACAATTTGATATTCGGAAATGCATATACCAAATGTTTGCTACGATCCATAAATTATTATGTAGATACACTTCATTATTAAAAAATCAATGAAAAAAAGTATGATGAAATAATAAAATATTTCAATTAATCAAAATACCATTACCATTACTGTTTTAAAGATTTTGTCTCTTATAAAAAAATTTTCAATAATATAATAATTTTTTAATCGAGTGATAGTATAATATGATATTTAAAAAACAGAGTATTAAACAAAGGGGCTCTAAAGTTTTTTAAAAGTTGTCATCATGAATTTACGGCACTGTTGATTTATTTATTATCTATTGAGTTGTGTAATTCTGATAAAGAACAACGGAAAAGATGTGATTGATAATTTCTTTTTCTATAAGACTATATTTTACTCATTTTATAAACTTTTTTATTGACATAGTTAGAATGAAGATTCAGTTATCCTCTTTCCTGTTAGTCCTTTTTATATATTAAAAGAGAAAACGACGTATATGACCGAAATGGTCATACAATTATCTTTACAAATTTTTAAATTCTTTATTGTAGATAATACAGATATTCCAAGGAATGTGTACGAGTACATAGAAATTAATTAGTTTTTTAGAGATTAAAGATTAGATAGATAAATAGAGCTTTAAAGAGAAAGAAAGACAGAAATAGCGAATGAAAAAAGGTTGTATGTAAATTCTCACAAGTATATCTTTCTCAAGTAACGTATTTTTTTATGGTTGTTTCCGATCTATTTCTTTTAAACTGATTGAAAGACTTTTATGTACATAATATATGAAAGTGCAAACCATATACTTAAATCACCATACCATAAACCATATTCTTCTTAGTCTTTATTAGTATCGAATATTTTCAAGAAATATATATAAATATTGTACGTGGATGAATATTATTTCATTATTGGAGATTATTTGCAGAGCTTTATAGTATATTTTTGTTGATTTTAAAATTGAAGAAAGGAGAAACGATAATACAGAAAAGTCCTTTCCATTTTTCTTTTGGAAAAAAATCTGCTTTTCAAATGGAAAATAGTAAACATTTAATCAAGCTTAAAACTTGTTCCTACTTAAAGCAAGAAGCAGAAAATCCAAGAGGACTGCATTCACTTTAATTAAGAAATCAATGTATCTAAAATAATATTAATCCAAATGATTCAATAGTAACAAATTTGGAACTTTCGCTATTGAATTTAGCACTGAAAGGCCATTTAAAAAAAAGATTTACGGAAGATAGTTCAATAATATTTTAGAGTTAATGAAAAATATTTAGTTATATTATTATAGAACTTACTCAGGAAATATCACAGAAATTAAATTTAAATATTAGATGTTGATTTATATGGAATAATTATTAATTATAAATTACAGTATATATCTGTAAACAACAATTGAATTTTATTAATTAAAGTTCATAACGTATATTATTCTATTTTAAATTATACTAATATATATTATTTTAGTATATTATTATTTACTATTAATTTAAAAGTATTATTTAAAAAATCGCGGTTTCTATCAAATATTTATTCCTAAATAACAAATATAAACTTATGATATATAGTCTCATTTTTCGCTTATTCCATGAAAAAGGCAAAAAAGCATTGTAAAATCTAATAGTATTGTGTAAACCATAAGAACGGATAAAAAAAACAAGAAAGATAACACAGAAAGAAAGTCATAGCAGTATACGCGTCCACGGAAGAGGCGCAAACTCAAAAAGAAAGAAAGAACGAAATGGTTTGTGTTGTATTAGCATTACCGCCGACGGATAAATCATAAAGCACTGAGGCGTATGTAGCGGGTATGCTAATGACACGTCCTGCATCCTGTTATACCACCCTCTTAGCCCCATACTTTAAGGTTCCACGCATTATAGTACACAGTCTCATCCTAGACGTTCTCTTTTAGCGGCATTTCCTTTCACTTTTTCTCTTTTCTTTTGTTTCTACATTCATTTTATTTCGCAAATTTTCTTTCTGCGAAGCATGTGGTAGATACTGTTAAAATTCATAGCCAAAACGGGATTCTTTTGTTCATTTATGGCGCGTACAGTCCGAAAATAAAAAGAAATTGTGTATACGCTAAGGTTACAGAGTGAAACATTTTGCTGTTTGTGTCGGGATGTCCCGAGATAATGTATAAGGTGGGTTGTGTGACAATGTCGCCATTCTAACTAGTAGGCGTACTTTTATGAGATCTTATGAGTCAAGAGAACGTACATTTTGATGATGTTTCAAGGCACATATTTGATAGCGAGATCGAATTGTTTTTTTTTCTACATTAGTTCTATTATTTTTTTACATTTTCTTCTTATTGTTTAGTTTTACAAGAAAAGAATTGCTTTAACGATGAAAACTTATATATACGCTCACACTTATAATAAAAAATTTAGAAATAATGTGTCTTAGAAAAAATAATTACTAAATTACAAATAGTCTATCATTATCTTTGATTCTCCTTATAGTTGGTGTTTTTTAAACTCTCCATTTTAAACTGAAGCTTATGTCTTTAGTATTTTTACTTTTTTATCCTACAGAATTCTGTTTTTAGCTATAACTATAATCAGATAGTACTTTAAATATAACGTCAACATTTTCGGTCTTTGAAATGCACTAATCATAATAATTTTATCAACGAAATATTTAATTGAACAAAATGATTGTTTATTTACAAGAAATACTTATACGGCTTCGGTAACATAAAGGTAAAATAAGTAAATAGTATGTATCTATTAAGCGCTTCTCAGAGTAAATTTTTTGTTCATTTTATAGCTTACATACACTAATTGTATACAAATTAGTAGATTATAAATCCTCGTTTTTTGAGTAATATCACAAAAATTTTCCTATTATATATTATAAAATATTTTCCCAATAGTGAAATTGATAATTACGTCATACAAAATATTTCACATATCGTTTTTCACTTTAATAGCAAAATTACCGAGATAAAATATTTTATTTAAAGTCATTGAAGAGATCGACTCCAATTGAAATTAGTTTAATATGACAATTACATCGCAATCCGTCATTTATTGCATATTGAAATACTGCTACACTTTTCCATTTATGAAAACCCGGCAGTACGCGCACGACTGGCAGCAAACGAGCTGTAACTAATGAATGGGAAGTATGCGGCCAGCGAAAGCAACACAAATGACAGGATAAAGAAAAAGGGAAAAATCTAAAAGAAAGAAGGATAAAAATAAATGAGAAAATATGATGGTGTAGTCGTTGTATATGAGACCGCAGGTGAGGGTGTATAATTCTGCGTTTCCGGCAGTATCAGTCTTTTAGTTTTGATTAATTCC